ATCTATCTATCTATCTATCTATCTATCATCTATCTATCTATCTATCTATCTATCTATCTATCTATCTATCTATCTATCTATCTATCATCTATCATCTTTTTTCATCTATCTATCTATCCATCCATTTTTTTTTCTTTCCTGGTTCTTGGTTTCAATCTCTTGCAGTGTTTCTTATCCTTGGGTCCTATGAGATTCCTCCTTCCAGCAAACTTATCTTTTACTAGTGAAAACCCATTCAATCCCTTGCAAAGCCCCAAGCCCCCAGAGAATGTTTAAGTGGCTGACTTCTTCTTGCCTCCTGATGGTACACAGGAAGGCACCCGGCTCTCAGAGAGAAGGTGGAAGACTCCGACAGCTCAGTTAGATGGGTCCTGGGACCAGCTCTCAGCTCCACTAGGTTTTCCCTCAGGATATCCAGTGAGTATCAAATGGGGGAGATTCTGCCTCCCTCCCCCAGGGGACATTTGACAATGTCTGGAGACATTTTTGGTTGTCACAACTGGAAGGGTAGTGGGGCATGTGCCACTGGCATCTAGGGGGTCAAGCCCAGGGATGCTGTTAAACAACCTGCAGCGCACAGAACGGCTCCCACCACCGAGAATGACCCAGCCCCAAACGTCAACAGCGCTGACGGGAGAAACCCTGGCTAACCGGATCCCAGGCTGGCTCAGGAAAGCCTCGGAGTCACATTCTAGAGAAACCCACACCTCTAAGAGGGAGCCAGTTCTGGGGAGCCCACCCCCACATGTCCACAGACTCACCAGAAACGAGCAGAGGAAGATGAAGGAAACGAAGTAAAAATAAGCAAACTCATTGCCACACTCGGGAGTCAGGATGCCAGAGTTTTTATCACAGGGTTTCCCACTGAGGCAGGAAAGCATGATGTTGTGCCAAGCCTCCCCGGTGGCACTCCTAAGGACAGAGAGGGGCATCAGGGACTTGGGCACCCAGCCCTGGACACCACTGCCTCCCAGGGAGGCAGAGCATCGAGGTGAAGCACGTGGGCTCTGGAGCTGGACCAGCATGGGTTTGAGTCCCAGGTAAGTTACCTGTTTTCTCTGGGAGCTCAGGGAGGGGACTCTCATTCTTGGCTGTGCAATGAAGCCCATGGGGATGGTTTAAATAGGGCCGATGCCAATGCCTCACTAGCACAGACTTGGATTCAGTTGATCTGGATGGGGTCTGAGCACATAGGTGTGTTTAAAAGACTTCCCTCCTTCCAGGTGATTGTCATCTTTTACTAGTTTCTCCCTAGGTAATTCTGCTCCAGGCACACTGCGCTCCTCTTGGTTCTCCACATGCCAGCCATGCTTCAGCCTCAGGGCCTTTGTACTTGCTGTACCCTCGCCTGCACTGCCTTTTCCCGGATATCCACATGGCTCCCTTCCTTGCCTATTTCTCTCATATATCACCCCTTTCGGGGAGGCATAGTCTACCAGCCCTCCATTCCTTTTTTGTTGTTAAGTGAGAAATTTTTTTTTATTGTGCCAAAATATACATAACATAAAATTGATCATTTTAAGCACTTTAAAGTGTATAACTCAATGTCATTAAGCATATTCACAATGCTGCGTAACCATCACCTTTGAACCTTTTCATCTGCCCAAACTGAAAATTTGTGCCCGTTAAACAATAACTCCCCAGTCTCTTCTCTCCCAGCCTTGGCATCTCTACTCCGCTTTCTCTCTCTGAGTTTCCCCATTTTAGGTACTTCATATAAATAAAACCATACATTATTTGTTCTTTTGTACCTTCACTTCCCTCTTAATTTTAAATTTTATCTCCTGCTAGTATCCTCTATAATTTATTACTGATTGTCTCTCCCACAGGAAATATAAGCTTCCAGAGGGCAGAGGATGTTGTCTGTTTCTGCTTTGTTCCCAGTACCTACAGCAGTGCCTGGCACACAGTAGGCGCTCAATAAAGCTCCCATGAGTGAAAGAAGAACTCTAACATGCAGCCAGTATTAAGAATCAAGCCTCAGAGTCTATAGGCCTCAGTTTCCTCACCTGTCAGATGGGGCTGCAAGAATCCCCACCTCCCAGGGTGGTCAGGAGGAGTCAATGGCTTCAAACGCCTTTCACGTTCGAGTCCCAGGGCCTTCAGGGTGGCTGGGCCCCCCATGCCCATCCCAAGCCCCACGGGCACAGAAGACTGAGGGCACCCCCTCCCCCCCAGAAGAGAAGGAGAGGGACACGCCCCCACTGGCGACAGAGGCTGAAAGCACCGGCCTCTCACCGGAAGAGGAGCATCAGGGCCTGGAAGAAGGTGCGGAAGTTATTGTGCTCGGTGATCTGGAAGTCGTCCTCCTCACTGTCCTCGTCCTCCACGTCAATGCCAATGTTGCCAAACACCTGGGGGGGGGTGCAGGGTGATGAGCAGGCCGGCCGAGCCCCTCAGTGGCTCCAGGGAAACCCCATGCAATGCCCATGTCTGCCTCTCTGAACGGGGCTCCTTGACCCAGCTCTGCCTAAGGGCGGTGGCCCTCCCTGGGCGGCTCTGAGGTCATCCGGGGCCAGCACTCACCTGCATCCCTATGATGGCATAGATGAAGAAAAGCATGGCAATCAGCAGACAGACGTAGGGCAGCGCCTGGCGGGAAGGAAGTCAGACAAGAGCCCTGCAGATAACATTTTCTGCGAGGCGCCCACACGAGCACCGCCAACCTCCATTCTGGATGCAGCCAGAGCGGCGGGAGACGGGGCGCTGCGTTTCCTCTCACCCTGGGCAGGGGCAGAGGCTCACCTTGAACGACTGCACAAAGGTCCAGAGAAGAATTCGGATGGTGTAACCCTGACGGAGGAGTTTGATGAGCCGGGCTGCTCGGAAGAGGCGGAGGAAGCTCAGGTTGATGAAGTTATTCTGGGGAAATGGAGAAAGAGGGGTGAACATCCACCCACCCCCTGGGGCTTAGAGCCATCACCACTCACAGAGGACCCTACGTGAAGCCAACCAACAGGAAAAAGCAAGCCAGACCCCAAATAAGGAGGGAGAGGAGAGGAAGCACTATTAATGCAATGGTGCAGAGGAAAAAACTTGAAAAAGGAACAAAGTGGGGTG